ACTTAGTATTAAATATTATCTTTTTTTTTTTTTTTTTTTTAAACAGGTGTGTGTGCATCTTTTCTTTCTTTCTTTTATCTTTTCTTATTGTCAACATATTGTTTTTTTTTAATTGTTTTTATTAACCCAAAAAACAATAGAAAAATTCTATTTTCAAATGCTAAATAATAACCATTGTTTAACAGAGAAAAAAATTGTTTTTTTTTTTTCGTCATATATTATGAATAGTTAATCCTTAATCGTAATCTCTTTAATTATTATTATTATTATTATTAGTAAATTTATGTCAAAAAAAAAAAAAAAAATGGACGCAAATATTGGCAGTGTGCACTAATCATATTTAAAAAAAAAAAATTTATTCCAATGATAAGTTCATTAATTTTTCTGCCCATGGCAATGGGTTAAATGGAGGTCCTTCTCCTCCTAATTCCGTTGGTAAAATGTCTTTTGCAACATACTCATGAAGTGTACTTAAATTATTACCATGTAAATAAATCTAAAAGGGGAAAAAAAATGTTTATATAATATTTAATAAGAAATGGAATAATAATTTAATACTAAAAAAATACTTACTCTGTTTTTACTTTTCTCTTTTAAAAACGGTTTAATGACGGTGAGTGCCATTTCAACATACCAAGGTTGATTAATAAAATGAAAACCTTTGAATTTAGCTGGAAAACAATCTTGAAGTCCTTCTATCATCAATTTAAGAATTCTAAAAGAAGAAAAAATGTTGAAAAGTTAATTATAGATAGTATTTAAAATGTTGTATTAGTTTATTTAGTGATTATTTTATTCAATCGTTGAAAAAATGTCAAGTAACATTATGTTTATTGTTATAAAAACTTTTGGTTAAACCACCATTTTTTTAGATTAAAAATATTTAGGTACTCACTTGGGAGCAAGATTTGAAGATTGTTTAAATGAAAATTCAGTCCAATCGATTACAAATACGAAACCATTTTTTTTATTGATTTCTTCAGCGATTAAATATTCTAACGATAGAAGAAGAGATCGAAAAATGACGAATAATGTGTAACAGCTGCAATTCCATCTTGAAGCGACAAATACAATAATGCATCTTCCTTTTCTGAAATTTTAAATTAAAATGCAATATTATGGACAAATTCAAGTTTGTAACTTTTTTTTTTTTTTTAGGTTAAACCTAAAATAGGGGTACCTTACCTTAATATGGTAATTATTCATGAAAATGTTGTTTTTTTAAAGCTATAAAATTTAAAAAAAAAACAATTTCAGTTACAAACCTATCTCTCTTATCTAAAACACCTGGAAATCCATCTCTAAGTGCTTGTTGAATGAGAACATCTTGTCCATTAAACCTTGTGAATAATTCAACATTTTTTTGTCTAAAGTAATAATAATTGCAATATAAATCAACACTGTCATCATAATTTTTACGTGCTGCTAAAAATCGTCCAATAAATGCATCGTCCAAACATGGATTAACTGAAAAAAAAATAAAATAATTTACAAATAGAAAAAATTTAAAAAAAAAAAAATTTACAATAATACACCCTTTAAAATACCTAAATCACTTTTAGATTTGATAAGCAATTTAAAATTGTGAATTAATTTTTTTCTTTCTGTTTTATTATTAGTATTAACAACAGGTAGTAACGTCGGATTAAAATGTATACCCCAATCAAAAGCACAAAACTCTGCCATTTGTAAAAACGTAACAACAATTATAATAATAATTATAAATGGAAAAATTATTCAAGACTGTCATTTCTTTATTATCCATTACTGGATTACGTTATGATATGGAATTTTTTAAATTTAATCCGATAGATGTCGTTGCGATCGTTTTTTTCTTTTTGCTAATCAAAAAAACATTCAATACTTTTTTTTTCTATTTTTTTTTAAATAATTTGTTTTTATTTAACGTAATATTATTTAATTACAATTTATTAACTTATATTATGTATTTATACTATAAATTTAATGTTTCATTTAAAAAAAAATTGACAAACATATAGAAATTTTGGTTTTTGACTCAGTTCGCCATTTTTGTAACGGTAATATCAAGTTTATTCAAAAAAGTGCTCTGTAATGAATTTTTTATTTTATTCTTTTACGTTAAGAAAAATATCACAAGAATAAATTTAAAACGATATCGACAATTAATTAAACAATTGAATGAGTTTTAAAACAAATGCCAAATATTTTGTATTTACCGTGATGATAATTTAAAGTAATTTGTGTTAATTACTAATAAAACTTAATAAAATTTCAATTTAAAAAATAAATAAATAAAAATTGTGCTTACTGTGTGTTTGTGTGTGTGTGTTATAATTATTTGTTATTCCAAGTATATAATATTGTAGTTTCAGTATTTTATCTAACAACTAATTAAATATTAATCAAATACATAAATAAGTTCGATTATAATAACCTTGATGTAACGATAAATTTCTGAATCTACAATTAATTGTGTAAATAACTTGTTGTAAAAAAGTAATAAAAAAAAAAAAAATTAGAAAAAGATTACACATATTGGTTTCTGTTTTGTTAACCGTGTATCAAAGTTAAATTTATCGATTAGTTTAAAAAAAAATTTTTTTTTTTTTTTCACGATTATTTTGCAAACGTTTTTCCGTTGAAATTAATTTTAAAAAAAATAAAAAATGTCAAAAATATTATGTTTGTATCATTTAATGATATTTTTAATGTTTTTCGGTGCATTATTATATAATTCAACGTATGTAAAAGTGCCTGTAATGGAAAGATTTAAAAGATTTCACGCATTTGGCGGCGTTTTTAAATTTTTAACCGTTTGGAACATGGTGAGTTAAACAAATGATTTTTTTCAAATTTAAAAAAAAAAAAAAAAATATTATTTTCTAACGTATTATTTTTATCAACGATTATTATACAAATCACACAGATATTTCACAATTATATAAATTATTAATATATAATTAAAAATAATAATGTGAATCTTTTCTTTTGTAAGGGGAAGGAGGAGGAGGAGGGGGGGAAGATTCAAAGTACGATAATTGTCGTCGCATTCTCTGTTGTGTGAGTTGCGCTCTATGTCACAATTTCCTTTTGAAGATTTTAATTAGTTTGTGTTTAATTTTTGTCTACAAAATTATTATTATGTTTTTTTATTAAATTTTATTATTATTATTATTATTATTATCTATGCGAAAAAATCGGTAAAATTTATATAAATAATTAACAAAAAAAAAAAAAAGAAAGAAAAGAAAGAAAAAAAAATGTTGAGATTTTTAGTACATTTAATTGGAGCTTTACAATTTTCCTACAGTGTTTATTACGATTATTTTTATGTACACCCTCCACATGAAATGTCTAACGGTTCTAAATTTGGTGGAAAATTTATTTTTTTGACATTTTGGAACGCGGTATGTGAGATTTATTTACAATTTTTATTTTCTCTTTAATTTTTTAAAATATTACAATATATTTAATAACTGTGAATAAAAAAGCATTTATGTATTACTACTACTACTATTATTATTAATAATTTTCTTTTTGTTTCAGATAATTCAATCATTTTTTTTTTGGTTATGCCTATTAAATGATATATTTGGAAGTAATGAAATCAATCCTAAAC